TTGTGATAAATTTCTTGTTTATTGACATTTTAATACCATGTAAGTCTTGTTTTATGATTATATAGAGCTGGTTACCCGATGATTAAGATAGGTATGTAGCATATAATCAATGAATAAACAAACACTGGTTCAGCACTGCTCTTTGTCTTACTACAGTATACAGCAAGATGATTAATTACCCTGACTCACTCTCATATCGCAAATGTTCTTGTCCAAATTTCAAACTCTCATAAATACATGTATGTATAATTCTCTTACTAATAATTTTCAATAGTGAAACCCATCTGAAAGCTATTTTGGCAATATTGCAAGTTAACCTCACTGAAACTCCTATACATCTTGTTTTTGAAGACTGTGCATTTCTGATGCATATTTGTTGCTCTCGGTTAAGAAAATGTCATGTTGTAAATTTTGAATTTACCGCATGGCAGTAAATACAAAATTTACAACATGACAACTTTGTCATTCCTGTGCACCTGAAAAAGATGCAATGCGAATGAAAAAAGACTTTTTAGTGCATAGCATATAATGCATTACAGAGAGCAGGTAATCCATAACAAAGTAAGTAGTTCGTGGCGATACCTTGGCTAGAGATCAACTACTGTAGATAACCAAATTTTCGCAACACCTTATTTTATATTTGGTATTTATAAGTGAGAAAAATTTTTCACGAAAAGTGGTTTTTGTTGTGTATATTCTTTGCTAATAAAATATACGCGAGAATTAAATTATTCTTGCGAATAAAAGTGATTTACAGTATGATCGACAGCTGCCGATCACAAACAAATACTCCTTTTTAAGGAAATGATTGGCAAGTGAAAACCTCTCATCTCTTTTTAACGTACTGTAAGCTAGAAAATCGAATTACTCAAAAGTATGCAATACCATGACAGAATTAATATTATCATATTATATTTTATATAATATATAACTAGATACATACAAGTAAATGTGTATGAATGATTTTTTTTTTTCGAAACAATTGTTTTTACAAATGTTCTCAACCATTGATTCCAGTCGATGAGGCTAGTTCGTTTTGAAAGTTGTCCCTGAGACATGTTTTGGAAAAAAATCTCTTTAGTGATTTAAACACGTCAAATGATATGGAAGAACCCTTATAGCAAACAAAGTTACTGATGTCTGTTATGTAATGTGCGCCCAAATAGTTATATTTGCCGGATGCCTTATATGGAATCAACTAAGAGTATTCAAGGTCACCAAGACGTTTGATTCCTACTTCCTGTTCCCTAGATCTAACCTTGGAAACAGAAGACAAAGTTCTTTATTCAAGATTGATGACAAAACACACAGAACTCATTTTAAGCAAACATATTTTGAAAAGACTTTTATACGAATCAAGGATTAGTTAACTTTTAAACACTTTGTTTTAGCATAAGCAAACATGTGGAAGCAGTCGGTATGAAAAGGGCAAATTTTGCAATTCAAATTTTATGGAAGAGTACCTCCTTACCTACTGAATAGCTTCGTAAAAGTTAGATTTAGAATCGTTGCACTGAAATATATATATGTTTATTCTACTCTGCCAAAAAAAACATGCAAATTTGTCATGTACAGACTCATGGTTCAATGCTGACGTATATGGTGAGTTCTTTGGTCGTGAAGTTCATGTCCTTTCTGACTTTTGTTTTTGGAAAAGGTGACCCTGCAACGTGATTACTTTAATATGTAGCAAATTGTAATTTGGCAAAATAAAATGTGTGGAAAGGAAACTCTCATGGCTTCAGTTTACAGAGTGTATAAGTAATTCGCATTTTTGCACAAATAGTGTCATGGAGAAAAACTTACAGTTTTTCAATATAGGTGTTTATCTATGAAATATGTAATTAATTTTAATAATTAATTTGTCTTGTTATCATTTTCAACTTTGATTGAAAATTAATAAAAGACAATAGTATACAGTATCATGTAGTTTATGTTCATCAATTTCAGCATGCATTAATAATGTTCCTTCAGTGTACCACGTATACCTGCTGGCGTTTATATGGAAATTGACCGATTATTGAACAAATATTGTAGGAGGATAATGATTTAATATTGAATATCTTAATTGAAATTTACTTAACATCAATAAGAATTTGTTTATTTTACTTTATATGAAAATAGACACCCTGTCTGTACTATTAAATGGACGATAATTTATTTGTGCTTTCGCTTTAAACGCAATGACTTGAAGCCCAATGGTAACTCTTAAGCTATTTTTCCTAATAAAGAACATTTTTTAGTTAATTGAATTAAAACTGTTGCCCCAATACTTACTGGAGGCACAATACATGTACAAACACACCTGTGTATAGTTAATATTCAATGCATGCTGGAAAAAAAGAAAACTAAGCAGGTAAAATGTAGATTATTTTCTTAGACACACTCTTCATTGAATTTAAACTGACAACATTTTAATAATTAATTTCAACTGAGACCATATTGAAACCACTTGTCATTGTAAGGTATGCGTACACACATCCCTGTATCGCTGGCAAAAAACATGCTTCGATGAATTATTTTTTTCACCGCTAAGGCCTACCGGTAACTATGCCGTACTGTACAACACCCAACACTTATTAACTTAGAGGTATAATGTCATTGTTAAGTTAATTTTAATCGAATCTCAAAAAGTGTGCATATGAAAAATATTATTTTTGCTTTTATCCATTTTTTTTCTTTTGAAAATTGTCTTTTGAGTTCTAAATATAATTAAAATTGCAATTTAAAAGATTATATTTTTTTATATGAAAAAACCCATTTTCATACCCGCTTGTTTAAATCTTTCTGCGATTATCATGCAGGTCAAAATTGTAATTTCATTAATTGAATGTTCAAAATTATTTCAAAATCGAAAATTTACAAATTTATTATTTTTTTTTAATTATTTTTTTTTACTTTTTTTTTTACACAAAGTTTATTATTTGAACGTTGTTTTAATAAAAGAGAGATAGTGTTACATCAATCCTAAATTCTATTTGATGTTGAAAGTTTTAGGTTTGTTAATCGAGAACTGTTTGCATTATGAAATGAAGCCATGGTACAAACTAATAAGTATCAGATTAATCATGTTATTTCTCCCCGATCGATGATGTAATATAATAGTGTAATTCATATTAAAATAGGCCCATATTGACAGAGCTATAATGTCAATGATGTTTTAATTTCATGGCAATATTTGGTCATCTTTTTCTTGGTCAAACACTCAAATGGCGAGATCAAATTGGGGTAAAATATTTTTTTTATTGAAAATTGGACCGTATTTTAGAGATAAGATGTCAACAGAGAATAAAGATTTATTTGAGAGAGAGAGAGAGAAGAAGAAGAAGAAAAAGAAGAAGAGAGAGAGAGAGAGAGAGAGAGATTCTTTACAAATCAACACGAGCTACGAAAATCTCCAGGATTGCTCTTAAGCCATTGTATTTTTAAACTGCTGTTGGTTCGAATCCCACTGTTCTCGGACTATCTAGGTAGTTAACATATAACGTTAGGGTGTACCTCTCTCCCCCACACATTTTTTCTGGATGTGTTGTAATTATTTTGTATGTACAATCAATCAGTATTAATCGCCTCAATATAAATAACATAATCTTGAAATAAATCTAATAAAGTTTTCATCGGGAAAATACTTTATCTCCTATCTGAGAGTCAACAAGATTGGTTTCCCGTGCATGTGTCAAAGAAAGGTTTGTCTCAAGTTTCTATACATCTTCGCTTCATGATTGAAATATAGATAAAATTTGAAACACGATTCCCATTATTGTGTTGACCAAACTTAACGTAGCTTATCCTTAAGGTCAAACATCACAGAATTGATGCTAAAAATAAAATCACAAAAGCAACTTAACGTCGGACAAAAGGTTAAGCTGGAAATGTTGTGTTTGAACTAGATATAATAACAAGGGTATGTTTTAGGGGACAGAGAAGTCATTTGATCCTGCTATAAACCGATCATGTGTTTGCTCAGTGTATTGACAATGATACACTTAATTTATTCGTATCTGTCTCGACTTCGTAGTGATTTAGCATTGTTCAAGCAAGAAAGCTTTTATATTTGTTGTTTCAAGGATCTGATATACTTTGCTGACATTAAGTGGTTTAATTAAATTTTTTAAATTACATGTTTTATTTTAAATTTGAGCATACAAATTGCCATACATCAAGGCTTTCCTATTTTTTTCCCCTCATGTAACTCTATAATGTGCAAATCAATTTTAAATAATAATAATTATTTTAAAAAAATATATGTATCATAGAACTTTACGATAAACTATAAGTATCACGGTTCTCTCATGCTAAACACAACAGACTTCCAGGCCCGAAATGGTGCCCACATAAATGATTTACATATCTACCATTTTGAAGATGTCTTTAAAATCAATCAGTATATTTCACAGTAAAATTTGCTAAGGTTTTTGTTGATATATTTCCAAAATGGTTCGGATGCCTGCATATGAGACAATTCACGATGACATATATATGGATGACTATATAATGAATAAAGCTTTACATGCTGGTGCGCAGATGTTTCAGCTGTGCCAAATGGGGAAAAGAAATTTCCGGTTTACTTTGTATGGACATGTACTTACATGACCACCTTTTGTTTACAACATGGATTGAACCAACAACAAATTTGGCTATGTCAAGTGTCCCAATCAAATATATAATGCAAGTTAATTTGGAGACTTTGGGGTAGGTCACGAGAAACGGTGTGTCAACAACAATTCCCTGTATTTATTTGCTTAAAGCTGTCTTTCATGTGTGAAGCATCTGACATCTTGGAACTCTGACCTCTTAATGTGCGGTTCATTGTTTATTTGAGAGGTTCAATGTCGGTCATTATGGCCTCTTGTAATCCACATACATGATACATTATATCGATTGAAATAAATTCCTTGACAAATATTCGAGCAATCCAGCCTTGACTTAGGAGAAAATATGCACGGAATCACTTAATGATTTTTATTTAGTCTTTTATTAGATAAACATCATTCCGAGTTCTATTTTTATGTGATGAAGATGACGATTTCCCTGAGAATAATTTTTATAACATGAAATAATGTCATAATAGAATATTTCTAATGAAGTAATATAAATTGGAAGTCGATACATAAACATATATACTTGATCTACATGTTCTATCTTTACTGTTTAAAACTGTGGGAATTAACCCTTTCAAATCTTTTGAAAAATTGGATAAAATTCCATGATTATATATTCAAAGAACATATTCCGAAGCAAAATTAAAATAACATAAACAATCTAAAAAATAAGAAAAATATCACCAAGATAAATCACAGATATCTATAAACGTTCAGCACCTACAAAACGTCTTTAAAATCAAAAACCGGTTTTTATCACAGGTATGTGTTTGTTACATTCATTAAAAAAATTCCTCTTTGTATTATGAAGCAAGAATTCGCATAAAGTGTTTCTCAAATATGAACAATTGTATTTCTCTTTTTTTTGTTTTTAAAGAATTCTTGCCATTTTTTATGACGAGTCTATATAATCTACTGGTTCCTCTTCAATAAAGCTACCATCAGAATTAGAAAATGGGGGTGTACGGGATGGGGAAGGGGCTGTTGGACGGTCTGGGATATGCAGCTGTTCGATTGGGGGAAGTTGTTTCCCTGGACGGTTCACTTTCGGGAGAATATTCACATTCAAACCTCCTCCTCTTTTCCGAATGTCTGTTGTTTGTCGAAAAAGAAGCACGTTTCCGTTTAAATGATCAGCAAGTCCGTTGGATAAAGATTTGTTAAACAAGTTATCCCGAGTTTGTTCTCTGGTTAGAGTTAAAACTTCTTGAACATGGAGATCTTTTCTGGAAGTTTTGGACTTATTACTGTACACTGATGCTACTTCGTTATCTAATGTTGTATCATCATAGTCACTAGTGTCACTGTTTTTATCTAAAAATCCAGAATCACGGAGTCCGGATGTTCCTATCTCCGGAAGTGGAGCTCTCCGCTGAAGCCGTAAGTTTGTCGGTTGTCGTTCTGTTATGAACCTTACAAATTCCTCAGTGTTTGCATCAGGTCTTCTATAAGCATAATTTCTCAAACTTGTAGATCGCTCAATCGTTATTTGAGGTTTTTGTGGCATCTTCATATTTTTGTTATTCATATGGCTCTAGTGGTAGTTCTTCACGTCTTGTGTCCGTTCAGCAATGATCGAAATCATTTATCGCTATATTTTATCACTGCAAAACACAAAAAAAGTCTGCTAAAAATAAATATATCAGACAATAAAAACTACGTCACAAGTAGAAATCATATTATGCTTGTCCTTTCTTAAATTCCTCTAAAATAAAGTGACAAGAGACAACTGTTGTCTTTTTCTACACACCGAGGGTACACACGACTCATTGCGAGAGTAAACAAGCAAAGCGGAGGGCGGAGTGCCACTTTATTGATGAGTCTACGTCGATCAGGCCTGCCTATAAAGGGAAACCCACCATGCACTAGGAAATCCCTTTCAATGACTTTTCGCTGCTGATGTCTCGATATGGATGAATTTATTAATGAAGGTATAAATTCATCGTTAATAAGAAAGATCAAAGAGTGCTTATCCAGCGAACTTCTTATGCACTCACGGCCCGAAGTCTTATTTTGGACTGAATCTATTTTGTTTATTTAAAGTAATTTAAAAGGTTTGAACAAAGAAAAAGATAGGAATGCATTATGTAAGGGAAGTGTACAATGACCTATGCTACCATTGTTCTGACATATACAAGTTCCGTTTTAAACTAATCAGTTTTTAAAACGGACTCCATAAAACGTCAATAGAATTGACTCCGCCCGAACTGACTTCTTTAACATTTCTTCTTTACAATAAGCTCTACTATTTCGCATGGATGACATTAAGAACAAGTCATTTACAGCATTTATCTGAAGCTGTTCGGTTCCGATTAAGATCTATAAATAATACAACACTAAAATAATGGTGTTCCTGATGCACTCGGAAATTTGATCTGGTTTTGGTCGCGAAGTTTTGAATGCTTAGATCGTTATCGTCCAAATGCTTCACATTAATATTAATTTGATACGGCATTAAGTATCATTTTCTCAAAACCATTTACTGCACACAGAACACCCATTGAAAATGAGCTTTTATTGTTGTGGTTGCACAATGTGTTTTGAGATGCTTCCTTAGCACGATTCCTTAGATGAACCTATTGACTAGGGTGGATCCAGAAGGGATGGGTTGGCAATGGTTGATTGGTAAATTAATTTATCTATTAAGAGATTTTCATTGTTATTTTTATCAAGTTTACTTGAACTAAGGCCAGACTAACGAGACATAGTGGTGATACCATGTCTTCAAGTTCAGGGTACTACTTAATTACCATTGCAAATATATGCATGGTTTAAAAAATACATGCACACGCAAAGATATTGGCATTTGAGGCATTCGTTCGAACAAAAAGGCTAGTTTTCCTTGGCTCCAATTTATTTTTTCGCTGCTTTCTAATAATTGTTGGTAGCATTATTGTCTCTTGTTAAGATATTAGGCCCTGAATCCCTTTCTTTTGATTTTAGGAATTGATAACACCCATAACATGGTAGATTATTCTCTTTCAAGGTCCTGGGAGCGTTTAAGGGTAAAGTAATCATAGTTTGTAAGGTAAATATGCCTTTTGTCTGTGTGAACTTTGTTTATTAGTTTTCGGCCTTTGTTTTTACAATAGCGTTTTAAAGTCCACATAGATTATACACAAGGTGGTTTTGCTGAGTATACAATAATGACATAATTTCGTTAGTCTACAGAATTGAATTATGAAGAAAGGCAAACTGTTGAATAAGAGACTTTGTTCGAAATTGCCAAAGTAAATGTTCTATTTAGGAGCATTAGTTTAACATATTGTCACCATGTACTATAGTATGCCACTCACTCACAAGTAAAGTAACTCTGGTTAGTAAATGTGACGTCATTTTGTACATTCGATCGAAAATTTGTGAAGTCTTTTTTTTGAGTCAAGATTTGACCTACCTACTTAATTTAGGATAGATAAAGCATATAATGATCATGAATACATTGAAGAATAATCGATGAACTTCGGACAACTTTCAAGATAACGGTTAATTAACTAGACTAAATCGTGAATCCAGACCATTAATTGTGTTAATTACGACAACTAATGAGATTTCCACACTATTTTCTAGGCTTATCAGACAACTTTACCTCATAATTCAAAAGAAAGTTAAGATTTGTATGATTGTAACCTGCACGCTAATGAGGTATTTACTATTGGATTCGTATATTTTAGCCCATTATTGTCAATACACTGAAGGGATATTCTTTTCTCTTGACAAAGCCATTGTCATGAAGATAAGACACGCTTGTAAAGTAAAAATGAATTTTTACCATGAAACAAATACCTTCTCAGGCAAAGCAATATTTACTTATTTATTTTTATAGAATGTGCATTCATTCTTCAACACATACGAGTACACATATTTTCAACTTTAGATGTAAATTATTGCATGACCCAAAACCATGTAATTTTTACTCTTTATTAATTATAGGAGCAAATAACTTGCGTTGGAGTTCCTCTCTGTTAGTATAAATGTCACCATTTGCTTGTGATGAATTGATTTTTGAAATATAATACAAACTACTTCGAGTTCCATCTGTTCTAGGTATAAATTATAAATAATATCGTCCAAATAACGTTATAAAGTAACAGGATGCATAATAAATGAATTCAGATCAAGATCAATTTGATAAATTAATTTGCCTTTTCCAACTTTTGTAACATTTCTGGTAAAAACAGAATTCTACAATATGGAAGGAGTTCTATACTAAATAAAGCTGTTTTTTCATACAAAAATGTTGTGAATTTATTCCAAAAATATTATCTAGTTTTCAAAATACACATTTTATGTAATGTTCGTTTTAGTTGTTTCAAAACAGAGTCTAATTAGTTTACAAGCAATACCAAATTTTTCCTAAATGTTATAATTATAAATTTGGCATATACGTATTTAGCTAATAACCAATAGAACATGACGGAAATTCACATATTACTGATGTCCTGGAAAAGGAAAAAAAACAATGAATAAAATTAAAGATCAATATTAGAATTGTCCTTTCTGATAAAGATGACTAAAAATAGTAATGTTTAAGTTTTTTATGGGGCAAAATTAAAAATGTCAGAAAAAACCAAACTTGTATGAAATTATTTTCATTTTTTAAAAATATTCAAACACTGATGACATAAATATTATAGCAAAGATACAAATTTTCATAAATCCAAGACATACAGGAAATTTTAAGTGTTAATTGTATTAAGAGAAAACTTGTACAGTTTTTATTCTATAATTATCCTTTTAACATAATATGAATTTTAAGTTACTATCAACGTAAGAAGCATATCTACGTGCCCCATGAGTACATGACTGCATGTTTGAGAAATATTGGATTTTTTTTAAGCCAACGCTTCTCTATTTTGTTGTCCTTGAGAGTTATATGGCGGGCATGGCAAATGACCTTGAACGTGTAGGGAAAAATACCAATAAACACAAAATGATCCTACAAAACGAAGGCAAAATATTATAAATAATGGACATAAAATATTCATATGAATGTAAGTGAATAAGGTTTGTTTATACTAAGTCGGAAGAGTGATTAAATCATATCCAACCTACGCCAATAAATAAAGGCCGTGGAGTCAAAGATTACAGGAGATAACAGACCAATAATTTTTATTTAGTATGTACTGATATTTTGTAAATGAATGAGAAATGGTTAAATGTTTAATGATAAAGTTCATTTTCCAGATATTTACAGAACTGTAAATATAAACCTGTAACTAGAATTACAAACAATACTGTAACTAGAAATACAAACAATACCTTAAGTAGACTAGAACCAAAGACAATACTGTAACTAGAATTGCAAAGAGTATTGTAATTAGAACCACAAACACTGCTGTAACTAGAACCAATACCGTAACTAGAATTACAAAGAGTACTGTAACTCGAACTACAAACGCTACTGTAACTTGAACCAATAGCGTAACTAGAATTACAAAAAGTATTGTAATTAGAACCACAAACGCTACTGTAACTAGAACCAATATCGTAACTAGAATTACAAGTAGTATTGTAACTAGAAGTACTAATTATAACACTGTAACTAGTTACTTTTTTGTGATTCTAATCCCAGTATTATTTGTGATTTAAGATATAGTAATGTTTTTGATTCTAGTAGTTTAAGTATTGTTTGTGATTCTAGTTAAAATATTTTTTTGTGATTTGAGTTACAGATTTGTTTGTAATTCTAGTTACAATACTGTTTGCGATTATTCTACAGTATTATTTTTGATTTTAGTCTTCTAACAGCATTGTTTGTAATTCTAGTATATCTAGTCAACTTACGGTATTGTTTGTAATTCTTGTTACAGTTTTTTTTCTAGTCAACTTACGGTATTCTTTATTATTCTAGGTACAGTGTATTTATATAGTCAACTTACGATATTGTTTCTAATTCTACTTGGAGTATATCTGTCTAGTCAACTTACAATATTGCTTGTAATTCTAGTCACAGTATATCTGTCCAGACAACTTTCGGTATTGTTTGTAATTCTAGCTACAGTATATTTGTCTCGCCAACTTACGGTATTGTCTCTAATTCTACTTTGAGCATATTTGTCTAGTCAACTTACAATATTTTTTGTAATTCTACTTACTGTATATCTGTCTAGTCAACTTACGGTATTGTTTGTAAATCTAGCACCAATGTATTTGTCTAGTCAACTTACAATATTTTTTGTAATTCTACTTACCGTATATCTGTCTAGTCAACTTACGGTATTGTTTGTAAATCTAGCACCAATGTATTTGTCTAGTCAACTTACGGTATTGTTTGTAAATCTAGCACCAATGTATTTGTCTAGTCAACTTACGGTATTGTTTGTAAATCTAGCACCAATGTATTTGTCTAGTCAACTTACGGTATTGTTTGTAAATCTAGCACCAATGTATTTGTCTAGTCAACTTACGGTATTGTTTGTAAATCTAGCACCAATGTATTTGTCTAGTCAACTTACGGTATTGTTTCTTATTCTACTTGGAGCATATTTATCTAGTCAACTTAAGGTATTGTTTGTAATTCTAGCTACAGTATAACTGTCTAGCCAACTTACAGTATTGTTTGTTATTCTACTTACAGCTTTGTTTGTGACTCTTATTTAAGTATTGTTTGATTTTTTAGTCACAGCTTTGTTTATGATTCATCTATAGTATAATTATATGTATAAAGGAGAGAGAGAGAGAGAGAGAGAGAGAGAGAGAGAGAGAGAGAGAGAGAGAGAGAGATTTGGTAAACTTGAAAGGTTGAGTTAATTTAGGTTATATTATTTTACGGATATATTTTTTCTTAATTAATCTTGGAATCATATCTAGAGTTTCTCGCAGTCAAAAAGTAAAGGATAAAAATCTACAAGATTTACATTAAGAACATGGTGCCCGTTTTTACTTAATTCTAATGGAAAGCAGTAACTATTCTCCACTGTGAATTTCTTAATCCACTAAAAGCCCTAAAAATTACTACGGTCCACATGTTTACTTTGTGATAAATGATTTTTTTTCCCAAATGGGATTTTGACATGTAATCAGCCTAAAAACCATAAATTGATCCCGAGACGGACTGAATTCCTCTGTCTTTGAAGTCCTCGGCTCACAACATTTATGAAAAAGGCATAGTAAGGAAAAACTTTGGTCCGAATTTGTTCAAACATCGACAGAATTGGTATAAAAGTCTCTATTTAGATTGCAACATCACTTACGAAGAATCATAGAAGAGAAAATTCTTCTATGTCAATGTCTCAATTAAGTGTCTGTAATCGCGTTTGTATGTGTGAATATTACCTTCTCAGATAGATGGAACTCATATTCAAATGTCAATCATCTCTGACACTGAAAAGTGTGAGATAATAACGGGTCAGATATTATTTTTCTATCTTACTCTCAGTATATTCTTAAGAAATCTTAACCTAGTTTGGGATATTGGATATTGCATCTGATAAAAACTTCGCGCCTAACCAGGGGGGCTTTATTTCGAATTTCGTAAATCACAAACGTCCACAAAAAATTGATACATGCCGGTATTTACTCTATTTTCGAAATACATGTGTATCGTGGTTAGATTTTCTTTTAAAAAAGAAATATCTAAGTTCAATGTTGTTTTTGCCTAAGCTTTGGGCTCACACAAAAATTATTTTTATATCAACATCGTCTATTTTGGTTATACGTTTAACTTTAAAGAATTAAAAGGGTTGAAATCCTTCATAATCATAAACTTAACCAAAACTTTACCATTGAACCACGGTTAATCTTTGAGGAGTTTTTTTTTTAAATGTGAAGATCTTAAGTGACTTCTCAAATCAACGTATCAAAATTTTGTTTTTCACCTACAAATTGTAGATATCTAATTTCATAAAATCGGAATCAATACATGATTAAAATTATGCGACAGTTCTAACTCATTCAAATCAGATATGATGTTGTCTTCTTAATTTTTTTTTTCGTTAGCAATGTAATACCAGCATATCACCACGATATACTTAACAGCAACCACTGCATGGTTAATTATGCACGTAATAAAATAAAAAATCTGCCAAAAAATCTGTGCCGTATTAATGAGGATGTTAAAGATGCATATGCCTACTTCCATTCAGACTTATAAACATTCATATTTTCTCAGCTGTATTAATTCAAACTCTAGGGGAAAAAAGAAATGAAATTTTCATTGCTAACCGATGAAAGGAAACAGAAAAAGGTCCCTAAAAAGGGATATGAACAAACTGGCACTTAAACTTTTCAATGCATAATTTACAAAAAAATGGCATCAAAATTTTAAATTCAAAATTGACATATAATCACATGTTTATCGTTAATATATCGCACTCTCACTAAGATCAAAGTGGGAACTTCTGTGCGGGTAACGAGAAGTACATTATTCTCAGGCACAGCGGATGACTTTATCAGTATACAAGACATTCCCAGCTTTTTGTTTCCTTTTCAAAATTTACGATTTTTTAATGGGAGCCAGTTGCTCAAATAACTATTAAATTTCAGGAGAGAAAAACTTCAAACAAAACAAACTTAGTTGTCTTACCCATTGTCCCTCTGTGTAATGTCTGAATACATCAACTTTATGTCCTTTTTGGTTCCTTTCAGAGGTATGATTTTATTCTGTGTGTGCAGTTTTTTTGTTTTTGCTGGGGAAAGAATAAAACCCTAAAGGCATGCTATCCTCCCCAAATCGCCGTATACCATGTGTATCTAGAGACTCGTAGATAAGGTTTCTCTGATTCAAGCCGTAAATCCCTTTCACCCTATGGAAAGCTATCTGAAATCCTCAATAGAACGCTTTTACCTTTATCAAAAAAGAAACACAAATATGAACGCACAGTGTATGTAGAAGTTTTACTTGCGTAAGCATGCTGGCTACAGGCGTAAGTCTACGGTAAACTTCAACAGGTGAAAGAGATTTTGATTTTTCCTTTATGCTATTGATTTTGGACGTAAAACACTTCATCGAATGTTTACAACTCTTTCTGTCCAAATTTGTCACGATACTATATAATGCAATGATATTGAAATAACTTGGACCTAAGTTGTGTTTTGCTTTGAGGCAGATAATCTCATTGTTTCTCATAAAATGCACACATAGCCAAATTTTTTGTTAGTTCTTTGCTTATGAGTCCGGAAATGCCCATATCAACTAAAAATAAGCACCTTTAACGGACAAATAGACAATACCAGTAAGTTAGTAACACTGAAGAAATTGAAGGCTATTATCTCCAATAAAAAAAATTAATTTTCACAATCAGTACGTATAATGAAATTATTCAGAAAAGTTGTTCTGATGTTGGTGCTTCTGCTACCAATGGTCTACGGACAATGATCTAAGATTATTTCTCTCCAGAAAACCTGAAGCCATGCATAGTAAAATACTTAGTAAAATACCGATTTATTCATCAGTGTATTTACCCTCGATCGAAGTTTCCTTTTTATTTGATAATTGTGAATGTGTTCAACATTTTCACGCTGTGACTATTTGCCTTTCCAGTAGAGATGAAAGAAGATTTTCCTCTACATTCAATAATATTGATAATGCTTTGCTTTTGTAAATATTCCAAATAAAAGATGCATGTCAAAAAATGCTGAATACCAGGCTTTATGTGTGATTATTATGTCCTTACTTCAAAGTTACAAGTTAAACTGTAACAACGATTGCCTGGTTCCTTCTTTTATACATGTATGTTTATTTTGTGATCATATTATTCTTTAAGGAGCACCCAACTAGTTGTGTACTCATTTTTAATATTTTTTTTCAAAAAGGTAGAAATCGGTAATTTGAACAACTGCTTAAATCTAACAGTAAATTGCCTGTCTCGATATCATTAGTTACATAACTTTCAACAGATCAATGGTAGTTTTTAGTTATGTAACTTCCGGTATCTCTTTCATGTTAATCATACAAAAATTGTTTTTATATAGTTTTCGTTTGTGACTCATCAAAATCTTTGTTAATGCCCAATAATGGGATTAGAAAATATTTGTATAGAAAGATTTTGTCAATTTAAAATGCGGTTATCGTTTGAAGATTAAACTTTCTAATTAGCAAATGATGTTTGCATCTTTATCTCTAAAATCCTGCTGCATCATAGAGTAAAATATGGAAAATTTAGATTGCACAGCCGATGCACAGGTTAATAATTTCATCCGCATATAGAGCAGATCTGTTTGTCTGGAATAACGCATCGTGGCATTCTCGGATCAATTTTTGAATCTTTCAATCGTTTAAGCATAAACACATTAACAATATCTATCTTTAATCGACCACACATGTAGATAATGGGCAGACACTATTGAATAAAACATGTATTTTTTAAGTTAATGGGAATTTCTTTTACAAATGAAATTTGAAGTTTTATTAGATAAAGATCGTGAAAATATTATGTCTATGGGAATTTGTGCAACAGCAAACATCATGTACCGGTATATTAAATACCTGTTATGCTCTAATTTTTAAAATTTACCTCGATTGGTATATGCCCAACCAGAGACAGTACTCAAAACGTCCAACTAAGTAGCCTTGGCCCTGCTTGAGAAGGTTTTTTTTTTTTGTTTTTTTGTTTTTTTTTTTTTTAGACTTTCTGTTTATTCCTATGTTTAGACTTCAACAAACTTGAATCTACGCTACTGTAGACGGGTTTGATTGTAGGAATTTCCATGGGTATTAATTGCGCCCCGTTATTAGCAGACCTATTTTTGTATTCATGTGAAGCAGAATTTATTATTCAAAAACTTTTACATGAAAAGAAAAAGTCTCTTGCTGTGGCCTTCAGTTCAACATTTAGATATATCGAAGACGTTTTATCAATTAACAATATTCAATCTCATTCCTTCGTTGATTCAATATATCTCTTTGAACTCGAAATAAAAAAAGACATCACAGAGTCCGAAGCATCTGCTTTATATTTGGATATTTTTACTAGAAAAAGACATTAATGGCAACCTAACAACAAAACTTTATAATAAAAATGATGACTTCAATGTTTCTATCGTCAACTTTCCTTATTTATATATATAGCAATATATCATTATCACCTGCATAAAGAGTTTGTATCTTCAAGTTGATTCGACCGAGCAATTGTTACGAACTAAGAAAGAGCAATTGCTAAAACAAGGCAAGCTATTGACAATTAAATTGATGATACAAGGATATCAACAGTCCATAATAGGCAATTATTTTCACACTGAATTGTCTAAGAATTTTTCTTTTTGCCCGATCATGACAAGGAGCACATGGCAAGTGTAGATGTATTTCATCTGTTCCTATATATTCCTGTATCAAACTTTGACCCTCTGTTATGACCCACATTGAGCAAACTGTGAGTCTTCAATACCTGAGGATGTTCGTATATTAATATGACTTATTGTTGGATTTCTGTTCTTGAAAAAAATATGTTTCCTATATCTTTCAATATAAACTGTGACCCTCCATTGGGGGCTCACTCTAAGACCCAGGGACCATGATTTGACCAAACTTGAATTATTCACTTTTTGCAGATACTGGTACAATGTATATTAATAAAACTACTCCCTTCTGATTACTGTATACAGGGTTATTTCGCTCCATGTAATGTTCGCCCTATTACACTCTCGGACGATTTTGCCACGTATTTTTAAAAATACTTTCTAAAAGAGATAAGCCTGTCTTTGTTGGATTCTACCCATTATGACGAAGGCGAAAAGTGCAAATAAAAATTTAGCAAAAATTTCTCCGCATACAGTTTATCGCTATATAAAACTTTGACCTTTGTCCCTCCACTGTGGCCCTACCCTAGCTCCAGAGCCCATAGTCTGTACAATTATATTTCTATAAATTGCATAAAGATATTTATATATCAATAAAACTTTGAGACAACGGACAGTAATCAGACTGAAAAGTCCATTGAAACAGTACAAATCGGGAGCAGAGCAAACATTGACCTCTAAAAAGAACATCAGGGGTGGGATCAGCTGCCATTGGAGAAGGACAGTCACACCCGCCGTGTGCTCATTGTCATGATCTGGCAAAACGGAAAAATCCGTGGACAGTTCATTGTGAGAATAACGGCCTTACAATTAGTATGAAAAAACGTCAGTCAGCATTCGACTTAATGATAGATTCTATTTGCCGACAAGGCCATTGTATCGACCATAGAACTTGCGAAATGTTGACTTTAAACGAGACTGTCAATATCTTTGTTTCATCAACTTGTTTGTCAATAGCTTGCCTTGTTTTAGAAATTGTTCGTATGCAGGTGATTAGGGTATATTGCTACATAAGTAAGGGAAGTTGACGATAGAAAAGTTCAAGTCATCACGTTTATCTTAAAGTTTTGTTGTTATGTTACTATTAACGTCTTTTTCTAGTAAAGTGTCCAAATATGAAACAGATGTGGCAGACTCTGTCGTGTCTTTTATTTCAAGTTCGCTGGGATATATCGAGTCGACATATACTAGTAAATGGAAGTAACTATATTTGTTTATTGATAAAACGTCGTCGATATATCTAAATGTCGAGTTGAAAGCCACAGCAAGTGTTTTCTTTTTCTCATGTATAAGTTTCTGAATAAATTCTGCTTCATATGAATACAAAAATAGGTCTGTTAATGACGGGGTGCAATTGGTATCCATGAGGATTCCGAAAGATTGTTGGAAAACCTATGATTTAAATTCCTATTGATGTCACATTCTGGACAAATTCATGTAAAGAACTGATTAAGGAAGCTTAAATAACACAAGTTTTGTCTTTTCTGGCTCAGTGGTTCTTGTGAAGCTTTTTAAATAACCCACATCACCCTATTTTCGTTATTTCCTAATTATCTTCCCTTGATGTGGAATTTGGCTCTTCTTTGAAGAAATCTGAATTTCCACTTCTTATAAAATACGATCATGCCAAGATTGCTTAAAATTGGTCCACTGGTTCTTGAAAAGAAGATGGAGATATGAAAAGTTAACAGGCGACAGACGGATGGACGGCAAACAAATGCTGATCACAAAAATTCATTTGTGCCATTGGTTCAGATTAACTGAAAATTAGAGCATGACATCTGAATATTCTGTTGTATGTAAGAAGTGGTTCCGTGTACAAACTATCCTGTTGCGCAATACCCTGCACCCGATATACATAGAATATTCTGAAACTGTATCATGAAGAACACGTTTTCAGATAGATTTGAAATCAAAGAGTTATGGCAGGGACCTATATACTAACGGGAAAGGCAACTCCTTCAGCGCCATGTTTATTTACAAAAAAACAAACAAACAAACAAAACACACACACACAACACTGCAAGTTTTTCAAACTACGTTTTTTTTTTCCAGTGAAAAGCTTGTTTTCTGATTAATGTAATCTGTTCTTTTTATGTATCTGAATGGATTTTTAATAAATTTTAAAGCACATATTATAAAATAATTTAGATATTAAGTAAACAACCACCAAAATCGGCAATTTCTCGGAAATACGGCCGATCAGGGGCACGCACTGATTTTTAAATAAACGTAATTACTACTAAGATAAGGAATAAAAACAGTGCTAATATCAAATCTTGAATAATTTTTTGATAGATAAATTAAGATTTTTTTCTGAAATATTTGATACCAAAAGAGATATATTTAATTAAAATTGATTTACGAAATCCCGC